GCCATATTGTTGCTTTTCCAGCCCCCCCGCCCCGCTGCCTTGGTTCCAGTTTCCCCCTTCCTCCATTTGGCATCGCCAGGGCCTCCTGGTGCCGCCCTTTCCATTAGTGCTCCGTGGGGGCTCCTCTGGGGGGGCGATTTCACCTTCAGGGCTCTGGAGTGAACAAGAACAGCCCCGGCCTTTGCCCACCCCGTCCCAAGAAGCCCTTCCCCCCCTCCCCCCCCGCTCCTCCATAACAGGATACAAGAAAATTGGTGTCTTCCAGATAGGCGTTGGGATTGTGTCGGTGGCTCGTTATTTGCACTGAAACGTGGAACTCGGTCCTTTGTTTGCAGGAAAAGGCAAAAGGACCCTCGATCCGTCACGCGGGCACGGGGTGTTAGAAAGCAGGACAGGCTGCTCTTCAGCCTGAGAATTGGCATGTATGTATGTGCGTGTTTTAATTATGGAATCCCCATGCCCCCCGAGGTGGGAGGGTTGGGCTCATATTAGCATAGGATGATACGGGGGCGTCCATTTGGGGGGGAGTCAAAAAAGTCAAGATGGCAGCCAGGACCTTGATGGAAGCCCTACCTTTTTTTTACATGCACTGCATGTGTAACACTTTAAAGAAAAGAGGTCGAGTTTTGTCTTCGTGGTCATGATTGCCATCTTGACTTTTTTGATGCAGACCTCCCCTCCACAAAGGGAGGTGATGAGCGAACTGGAGACATTCCATTGATTTTGGAGCAATTTTCCCTCCGTGCGCTGTCTCTTAGAGGAGGAGCGAAGGCTAGGGACTTGGGACAGAAAGGCTGGTCTGCTTGCATTCTTCAGATGAAGGGGTGAACCCCAAGGAGAAGATCCAGATTTCCCCATGTTAGGCCAGAAGAGATTCAGCAGGGAGGACGCCCGGGTGAGGAGCTTCTGCGGTTGGTTGTTTGGGAAGGCTGACTCCAAGTCCTGCCCCCCCGTCCCACCTGGATTAAATTGGCTTTCAGTAGCTCCTCACAAAGACCTCTCCAGAGATGTCCTCTGTGCTGGCCGATAGTGACCTCTCTGTATGGTTGGGTTCTAGGCTGGGTTCTCCTCCACCTTTGTGGCCGTCTTGACCCATAGTCCGAGCGAATGTCAGAATCCCTGTTGGGTTGTGGCCCACATTCCCAAGGTGCCGGTTGAATTGCGTGAAAGGGCCCAAATGAGGGAGAGGAGGCTGTGGCTTGTCTTGAATCTACACGCAGGAGTGGAGGACAGAGTTGCCCCCTGTGCTCCCACCAGCGTTAATGGAGCCCCATAGCCGGGCTGAAAATGTAGGGACCAAGGTGTTTCTCCTGCCGGGAATGAAGTTCTGCAAAGCAGAAGGGCGGAAGAGCAGAAGGAAGGAAAAGATGAGATCCTTCTTGGCAAGGAGAGCCCCTGGCTGCAAGGATTAACTCCGAGGTCACCCAAACCCCCAAGGCTCTCAATAAAGATTAGTCCTAGGCAGGGCTCAGCGGCCAGGGCCAGGGGTTGCAGGTGGATGAGATGGGATTGGATCAGCCCTCCAGGCCTCCTGTAGCATCACCCTCTTCCCTCTGCCAAAGTTGATGTTGGCTTCCTTTCCGCTCGGCATCCACGTTGCCCAGCATAGGGACTTTCTGGGGTGCCCAGGACCAGGGCAGGGCAGAAATCCTGCTAGGATCGGTTTCTGGGCAGTTCCTGCGCCTCGGACTGACTACAGAGATTCCCCTCATTCCCTGTGAGATAACATGGAACGGCGCTGAGCAGCTCCGGATGGCTTCCGGACAGCGACGCGACTTTCCTGGGTCTCTTTCCAGGAAGAGCAAAGCTACTGAAGGAAGCAGAATGCCCTAATTATTGCTGGAAATAGAGGGATGCTTCCAACTTGGCCGCTTTAAGATGGGTGGACTTCAACCCCCAGAATTCCCCAGCCACACGTCTTAAAGTGGCCAAGTTGGAAAAGCACTGCAGTAGACTGTCGGGGGGCAGTTGGTCCGTTCCCAGGAAAATCGGTCTGAATCCAGAAGCGTCGGCCTTCTAACGTCTCTGCTGGCGGCCGTGCAGGATCAGGACCCAGGGACTGAGATGGCGGCATGCGTTCATTCCCTTGAAATGCTCCAATTGCCATTTCTGGGGAAGGAGCAGCATTCCCCCCCCCCCGCCCCCTGCTGCAAACCCCTAACTTGGGCTGCCCAATTCCACTGAGGCCCTAGAAGAGCAGGTAGACACTGGGGGAGCTGGAGGCCTTCCTGCCACCGGCCCTGGCAGGTTGGCTGCGGAACCCGGAGCAAACGCCCTTCGCTCTCCCGGTGGCCCCTCTTCCATCTGACAGCAAGCAGAGGGGGGGTCAGCCCCTCCAGCCGTGGAAAGCAGGACCGAGAAGGCTCCTGAGACCTCTTCCCAGAAGCAGGGAAGCCCACCCAGGTCACAACACGCATCCCGGAGCCCGTTTCCGTGGCTGTGACCCACAGAGGGACTGTTTGGGGGGGTCACGGGGGGGGAGACGCAGGGGCTACTCTTTCTCGCTGGCGCAGCCCCAGGGGAGCCGCTCGGCAGGAGTTCAAGCCGCTCTGCCTCCCCTCCTCGCTCATAGCAACCCCTTCCTCACCACGCAAGAAGCCTTTGGAGTTCCAGGTGTATATAGCTGTATAAAGTGTATACTTTTCAATTGGGCGGGGGGGGGGACAATGAGCCAAGTGGGGTGGGAAGCCTTTGGAGGGCCCCCCCGAATGACCCTGCCACGAATCCTGGGAGACCCATATTTGGGGCCGGATACAGGAAAAGCTGGAAATGCATCGGCGTCTTGCTTGCTGCTTTGGAGTTGAGTAACCCCATCTTCATCTCTTCCCCACATTTCAGGGACCCATTCCCCGTGCCCCCCTCCCTGAGAATCAGGCAGCCGGGAAAAACACGGCGACTGTTGCCACCTGGCCCCCACTGCCACCTCCCCCTTTTAAAACCCATTCTGGGGAAGAAGAAAAAAGAAAAAAAAAATTTTCACCTGCCCCAAAACGCCAAGAATGCATATTAACGGTCGTATTGGGCCACCCCAGGCAGTCAGGCCCCCGAGGTGCCGCCCAGCCAGGACTCCAGGAGGAACCAGCTCGAGATTGGCTCCTGTCTTTGACCGCCTGTCATGCCCTCGCCCGTCGTTCTGCCGTTGGGAACATGTAATTTAAGAGGCGCTTCTTTCCCTAAATGTTATTTAAAGTTTCTGTTCTTCATGAGGGATGTTTGCTCTCCTTCGCTGGAGGAACGTTCACGGTTGAGCTGCTTGGATGTTTCGCTGAGCCTATGGGGAGCACTTCAGAACACAAGTTTGGGGGGGGCTCGTGGGTGAGGAGGCTCCCCTCTGTCCTCCCCAGAGAGAAAAGATCCCACCATTGAGAAACACAGTCCCCCACTCTGGATTTTTCAAACGTGGCCCCTTTAAGAGGTGTGGACTTCAACTCCCAGAATTCTGGGGAGGATGGACAGAGGAACCCCTGGAAGGTAGAGCAGCGAGCAGGAGAGGGCACTAGGGGGAAAATGCCCCGTTTTGTCTCCTTCCAGTTTCAGGGAGGGAGAACACAACTCAGTCAATTCTGGGAGTTGAAGTCCACATGTCTTAAAGGGGCCAAGGTTGAAAAACACCATCTCTACCCAATGCAGCCAAGGGATTTCCCACCCCACTGCCAGCAGGCATTGGATTGCAGCTCCGAATTGGCAGACAGGCTGGGGAAATGCCAGGTCCCGGAGTGGCCCTCTGGCCCACTCGGGGACAGCATTCCCAAGGGGCAAGACCTCTGGGTCCTAGCCCCAGAAGGAGGTAGGCCTACTCCTTCCTGCCCCTTCCCAGCAGCATCCTCATCTTTTCCCCAACATCTGTGCATTGTTTTTTGCCCAGGTTTTTTTATTTTTATTTTTGCAAACTCAGCTCACCCGGCTTGGTGCTGTAGCTATATTCAGGTTCCGTGCCTGGGCACGTCACTACACGCATGCTTGTAGAGATGCCCAAGGAACTCAAGAGGCCTGTGCTCCCAGGGAAAGGTGGCACTTTTCGTGCTAGGAAGATGTGCAAAAATTTGAGGAAGAGCCAGGTGTTTCTCGCAGGCGCCGTAAATGCACTCAACCTCTCGAGCTGGATCCAGCGTGCAGATCTTGAATGCTGCAACGGGCTGGGTCGTTCGCCAGGCCTGGGGCCATAGACCTGAGCCCCCAGTGGGACTTCAGGAGGGTGTGTTGGAGGGAGTTTTGTTCAGGGGAGGGGGAATTTATTGGCCCTTTTATTTTAAGTGCATGCATGCCCAAGCTAGGAATTTTCTTTCACAAGTTGAAGAGAGAAACAGAGAAGAAACCCCACGGTTGGAAGGAGCAGCAACAGACGTTAACTGTTGGGCATTACTTTTTAAAAAAATAATGTACAGTAGGTTATTGTGAAAACAGTGGTGCCCTTTTGCTAGGGGATTCGGGGGGGGGGGGCAGTTAATCGACTATAGATCAAGTTTGCATCTTGCATCCTGCACTAACCAGTTATTTGAGAGGCGATTCCGGCATGAATTCTGCACGGGCCTGCCAAATTGGGTGCTGACCTTCTGCTAAAACAAACACCAGGAAAATTCTCTGGGACCGTGCCCTGCCTTCACTTGGTGTTTTCAGTTGGCACCTACAACAGTATACAAGCCATAACCAGGATTGCCAAAACTCCACTCAACCGGGCCATTTTTCCTGTGGAATCCTAGTTGGAAGGCATCTGGGAGGCCATCTAGACCAACCCCGGCTCAGGACAGGATCCACTAGAGCCTCTCTGACAAATGACCATCTAGGTGGGACCAGGGGAGGTTCAAGATTTTCAGCAGCCTGGTTTTTCTCTGCCATGTGCTAGAGCAAACGTCTAAATTAGTGTTTCTCAACCTTAGCAACTTTAAGCTGAATGGACTTCGACTCCCAGAATTCCCCAGCCAGCATGGAATTCTGGGAGTTGAAGTCCATACAGCTAAAAGTCTCTAAGGTTGAGAAACACTGG